CCATGACATGGGGAGGGAGAGAGAAAGAGAGAGAAGCATACAATCTTTGCGATAGAAAAATAAGTACCTGGAGCAGCGTATCCAAAAGTTCCTGCAGATGAAGTTTGATTTGAGGAGTCAGGGTTTTTGAGTCTAGCTGTGCCAAAATCAAAAACGCGAAACATTATTGCTCGATATGTCCTGATGAATGAAAGGAGGGGAACAATCATGGTGCATATAAGACAAAGCATTTACCACCCCTTGAATCGCATTCACCCTCTGGGTCCATTCAAAATCCACTGCTACTTTCTCATTTATTAGTATCTTCCTCAAGCTTCCCCTTCCAAGAACTCATAAACCAAAAATAGGTGTCGTGGGAGTGAACAAAAACCATAAAGCTTCACAATATTACGATGTCGTATCTCTGTTAAAGCTTCAATCTCACTTGTAAAATTTTTCCCAACCAACTCACCATCTTGTGAATTATGAAGTTTCTTTACAGCAATAACTTGACCACTTGGCAGCTCAACTTTATAAATGGTACTGTATCCTCTGACTCCAATGCAATGTTTTGTGCTGAGGTTCTTCAACGATGTTTTCATACACCAATTTTCCATCATAGCTCCATATTTCAAACAAATTTTCCTCAGATGTATGTCTTGGCTCATTGACTTTGTTCCTGGCTCTTTTGTGAAGAATTCAAAAAATTGCCAACGTGACAAATAAAAACAATGAAATACCCAACACAAGAACTATAAACAAAACCACAATTTCGTTGTGCTTTTTTCCCCTTCACCCCACTGCTCATCTTGGGAGGGCAGGCCTTCAAACTCGAGATATTTCCGCACTAATCTTTGTTATTTTTGAATGCCTCAAATGAAGCCTCTTTGAAAGGCTTTGGTGTTGGGAAGAGGACCCTCCAAATGATTGTAAGATATATCAACAGATGTCAAACTTAGCATATCATTGAAAGTATGTGGGATGGAACCTGAAAGCCCATTATTTGATAGATTGAATGTCTCTAAGTTGTGCAATTCTCCAATCTGTTGTGGTATCTCACCTACTAGTGAATTTTGGCCAAGATCAATAGTTTGAAGAGAGTGCAACTTCCTTGTTTTGATCAGAATATCTCCCCCAAGTTTATTCTTGCTCAAATTCAAGTTTAGTAGCTTCACGCACTCCCCTAATTGTTTTGGGACCTAGCCACCGAGATTATTTGTTGCCAATTTAAGATGTTGTAGGTCAAATAAGCTACTGATTTCTAGTGGAACATTGCCAATAAGTTTGTTATCACTCAAACTGAGGTCGAACAATGAGTGCAATGAGTGCAACTTTCCCAGATTATGTGGGATCTCCCCAGCTAGATGATTTGAAGAGAGGTCAAGTATATGTAGTTGAGTTGCATTTCCAAGTTCAGATGGCATCCTCCCAAAAATATTATCATTGGAGATCTTCAGGATTGTCACATTATGACAAAGTCCCCATTTTTGAGATAGCTCACCATATAAATGATTATAACTCAAGACAATATAATTTAAATTTGGGTATACACCGAAATCTTCTGATATATTTGCTAAGTTCGTTTCTGTCGAGCCTAAGTCTGTACAATCTAGCACAAACTTTCAAGCTTTTTGGGATCAAGCTTGTGAGATTATTAACGATCAGATGCAGAAAAATATTCAAGTAATCCATCAAGGCAAACATTGTGTGGTAAATGACCTGTGAGCGTGTTAGAAGCTAACTGCAAGTTTTGTAAATGTGTAAGATTATTAAACGACAAATGAGTGGAGCCTGTGAGTTTGTTCTCAGACAAAATCAATTTATCAAGGGAGTCTAGTTTTCCCAATTCCGGAGGAATGGAACCGGATAGTTGATTATCATGTAAATTCAATTTTTTGAGCTTAGGTAAGTTTACAAAACTAGAAGGAATGCTTCCTGAGTCGATTTTCAAAAAGGTGTAAAAGAGTTAAGCTAGCCAAGTTCCCTATAGACACTGGGACTGAACTTGTGAGACTGTTTGTTGACAAATCAAGTTCAATACGAGACCTTAGCATTCTAACTTCTCGAGGAATGAATCCAGAAAGTTGGATTTTTGCAACAAATATGATTTTCTTCACGACGTTGTCAATAAATACTAAAAGTAAACACAAATATCAATTTTTGAACTTGACCAATAGGCCGGTCCATTAGCCCACCCTAGGCCAACCCCATTGGACAGAGCTGGGATTTACAAATCTGAATTTTATTATTTGGTCTCCTCCACTCCAACCATCAACAGCCTCATCAGTGGCAGAACCATAAAATTGCCGTTTGGTAATCCTTATGTTTTCAGTTTTCTGTTTATATTTACAAAAATTTTAAAAATTCAAATAAAAACTTGTTTAGTAAATTTTTGATTTATAAATCAATGGTCTCAGTTTATAAATTTAGCCAAAAAATGTAAACTCAAAAAATGTGTTTCCGTTTTGAATTTTGAGTTTTTTTTTTTTACCACCCAACACTAGCCACTACCCGCCACCATTTTCCACCATCGTCTTCCGCCACCACCACCCACCCACCCACCCACCCACCCACCACCACCACCTGCCACTACCACTCAACCACCCACCTGCCACCACACCCGCCACCCGCCACCACCAGCCACCTGCCACCCACCCGCCACCACCAGCCACCACCACCTCACCCACTCGCCACCACCACCCACCCCTTGCCACCACCACTCACATCCACCTGCCACCACTATCCACCATCCGCTACCACTACCACCCACCACCACCACCCACCCGCCACCACCACCACCACCACCACCACCCACCCACCTGCCACCACTCCACCACCATCCGCCACCCACCTGCCACTGCCACCACCACCACCCGCCACCGTCACCCACCCAACCCACCATCACCACCCGCTACCTACCCGCCAACCACCACCATCGTTATCACCCATCACCGCAGTCACCGTCCACCGTCACCGTCACGTCACCCCACCCACCACCACCACCCACTCGCTACCACCCACCACTCGCCACCGTCACCCACCACCACCACCTGCTACCCACCACCCACCGTCACCACTTTCCACCACCGTCTTCCGCTGTCACTTGCCGCCACTTGCCATTTCTCACTCTTTTTTATATTTTTAAAAGTTTTTAAATATTTTGTCAATTACCAAATGCGTTTATAGTTTGTGTTTTTCTAAAAATAAACAAAAAATAAACAAAAACCAATTTATAAAATTTTTGTAAATATAAACTGAAAACGTAAACGTTACCAAATAGATTAAATTTTAAAAAATTTTACCAAAATATTTCACATAAACTTCTATGATTAACTTCAAGAAAGATCAAGATAATGTTGCTTGTAACTAGTATATTATGGACAATATATAAAAAAATTATGTATATAAAATAAATTATATAATGATAAAATAAATTTTTTTGGTACAACTTGAGTCAAAATTTAATATAATTGTGATACCATGTCATCATTAAGATGTGATATCACCAACCAATAGTAAAGCAACCCTACATGTCAAATATAACTAACGTGCCAATAATGATGTGTCAATGGCATTTGTGAAATTACAAAGACAATAGTAGATGCTTTGATTGAAAATGAAGATACTACAAGATGCCAACTCATTTTGTATCGAATTTGTACACAAACATTTTGTTAATGTTTCAATGACATTTGTAAAATTACAAAGATTATAGTATATGTGTTGATTGAAAATGAAGGTATTATAAGATGTCAACTAATTTTGTACTGAATGTCTATACAAATATTCTGTTTTATGTGTCAGTGGCATTTGTAATATTACAAAGACAATAGTGGATGTTTTGATTGGAAATGAAGGTATCACAAGATGTCAACTCATTTGTATAGAATTTCTATCAAAACATTATGTTTGTATATCATTACTCTTTTCTTAAAACATCATATAGGGATTATTTTTGAAAAATTCAAAGTACCTTGAAACAATTAAGTAGGGGCACTAGTATAATTTTACAAAGAATATATTAGAAATATTCTTAATATTCATTTGTACAAGTATAATTTTTAAAAGGTGAGGGGGTCACGTGCCCCTAGTCCTTCATTGCATGTGCCCCTAGTCCTTCATTGCATCTGTCCTTAATCCTCGTTGATGTAGCCCATCGGCCTGCCTTGCAGTGTCTACACTTGAAGATTTGTCCACTTTTTGCAGGACAGAGCAATACTAGAACATTGAGGAACGGAAGAAGCAAGCTTCACCTACATTGATTGAAAGGTTGCGATTGAAGGACATCTTTTCCTCTGACATTAGTTTTACATGAAATTTTGTTTACAATGTGTCCACTAATGTTAGGAAGTAAAACTAAACACATATATAGAAATAAAGAAACTAAATTCATAATGAAAAACTAGTCATCCATATTCTACATTTAGTTTATGTATTCCTAACAAAAAACTAGATCCATACTAGCACCATAATTGGTTATTAGGTCTGGCGAGCATGGTTGGGAGAGCTCTTTGGCACGACAATCCTTTCCTCCTCAGTTCATAACTAAAATGATAACCCTTCAGGATATAAAATAAGATTTTCAGGATTTTTATATTTTTATTCTATTTCAAATTATGGTTTGAAGGGAAGACAGGAAGGGGAAAAAGGCAGAGACAATGAAGGGTATTTTTTTCATATTTTTTTAATAACTGTTTTGTATTTAGTTTACAATCCTCCATATCTAATGCAATCATTTTTTTCATTCCTGATCTTTTTGTTATTGAGTCATGTGTTTGGTTGGGAGATTTTAAGAGAGATTTGGAAAGGAAAAGGGAAAGGGAAAATGTGTGTGCAACTAAGTGAAATATAGGTATGTTTTATTCACATTTCACTTACCTTTTTCATTTCCCTTTCCAAATCCCTCCTTAAATCCCCCAACCAAACACAGCACGGCTGAATCAATTGATCACTTTGATTCACTAAAAGTACATAAAAAAAATGTACAATAAAGGAAAATGAAAAGGGGTAACTCTCATCAGTTCTCTAAAAACGAAAGTAGCCTTCTCTTGGAACAAGTTTTTTTTTCAAACAGTATTTCAGTGTCTTTTTGACTTTGAACACAGAAAATGGTAGAAAAATAGATAACAAAAATAGTGAAAATCAAAATTTCAAAGCAGAAATGAGACAACAATGACATATAACTAATAAAGGGAAAACGACAATGCCCAGGATGTCAAACAGTTGACATCAATGAGTTGTCCCAATGAAATCAAGTGGAATGGATTCAGCAGAGGAGGCCTCTGTTTTGATAGTGCCATAGAAATTTGTGGCATTGTTGGTCAGGACTGTAGTCTAGTGTGCAAACATGCCAATGCTAATTTTGCAACAAGGACCACTTCTTTTTCCACATGAGTCCTAGGAGGTGGGAGGCGTGAATCCAATATATCTTCCAACAATATACCATAAATAGTGGGCGGTGATGAGGAAAGAGAAGAGATGAGATTGCCCGGATGCTTCCCATTAACACTTCCAGTGTTAAAACTCCAAAGCTATAAACATCCAACCTCTTATCCACTTCCATTGTGTAAGCAAGTTCTGTCAAAAAAAAAAAAAAAAGAAAGAAAAACAGATAGGAAAGAAAATAAAGGGATAAAAGGTAAATGAAAAGACAGTTTGTTCATAGAAAATTAAGAAGAATAGAATAAAAGGCTTTGCATACTGATTTAGAGAAAGACCATGCTATAAAAGTGGTGGTGGAAGTTGGTAAATAAAAAAAAAAAATTTGCTTGTTGATTTGAAGAAAAGTCCAAAGGTTCCTGCAAACAAAGTCCAATTGGATGATAGAGGCTTTAGAAGTCTAGATGTCATTTAAATGAATATTTAAATATTAAAAAGCCTCCAACTGAGATTTTGTTTTAGGCCACAGTGAGGGTAGCTAGCCTAGTGGGTCGCGCATGAGACTTAATCGATTAAGGAATTTTTCGTAGGGCATAGTCCACTACAAGATCACAATATGGGACATGTGAAATTATTTATATCATCCGGAAGAAAGCAAAGAAACAAGTCATAAATAAAGTGAAAAAAGGAAGAAGAAAGACATACAATACAAGGAAGGTGCGGCAGTCAGAAAGTTGATTTGTTGATATCATCAAACAATTCTCCAACAGTAATCTTGTAGAATTGATTTTGAAGAGGTGGTTTTTCTTTTGATAGATCTGCAGAAACTTGTTTCATGGTGGGTCGCAATTTTGGACTAATACGCAAACACGTCAATGCTAGCTTGACCATAAAAACCACTTCTACCATCAATTGATTCCTGGGTGGTGGTAGGCGTTGGTCCAAAACATCCTTCAGTAATATACTATCGGCAATTGGTTTTGACCATGATGGTGATGAATATGATGGCAGAGAAGTGATGAGACTGCCTGGATGGTTTCCCATAATCACTTCCAATGTCAGCACTCCAAAACTATAAACATCACAATTCTCATTCACTTCCACCATGTAAGCAAGTTCTACAAAAAAAATATATATGTAGATAAATATAAATAAAATAAATTAATAATAGTAACAACAATGATAATGATAATAATAAATAAATTGTTGGCCATGCTCTGTTTTGAAACTTGAGTAGATTGTATTATCATAAAATTGATAACACTAACATGCACATGAGGACAAGCTATTGATTTATGGGGTGAGTTCATAGATGCAGCTTCAGTTCAAGGAAATTTAAGGAACTGATGGATAAATGCCAAATTGCTAATGCTAAGATTCAAATATCAAATCATGATTAGCATGAATATAACTGAAAGGCACAAACTTCTCTCTAGTCCTTAATCGGACTGGAGAGGTCCAATTGGCTCATTGTAGGCCCACGTCAAGCCCACTTCGGTGATCCAAACTGCTCATCTAATAGGGCTCACCCAAAGAGATCATCCATGGAAAAATTAGCTTGATCAGACATCTGTAAACATATAATTAGAAATGGACACCCATTTAATTCATCCATGTGGAAAGCTTACAATCTTTCAACCTGTCATTATAATTAGTAACTGAAATAAACTGTATATGAGTGAGTGAGCTGCAGATAAATCATGCCAACAAAAAACATATACCTGGGGCAGCATATCCAAAGGTCCCTGCAAATGAAGTCCAATAGTATGAATCGGGCTTTACAAATCTAGCTGTGCCAAAATCTGAAATGTGAGCTACATATTCTCCATCTAACAAAACATTCTTGCTAGATATGTCCCGATGGATAATCGGAGGCGAACATTCATGGTGCATATAAGACAAACCATTTGCCACACCTTTAATAACATTGACCCTCTTAATCCATTCAAAATCCACAGCTTCTTCCTCATTGCTTAGTATCTTTTTCAAGCTTCCCCTTTCCAAGTACTCATAAACCAAAAATGAATGTCGTGGATGTGAACAAAAACCATAAAGCTTCACGATATTAAGATGTCGTATTTCTGTCAATGCACGGATCTCACTTTCAAAACTTTTCAAATGAGCCAACTCACCGGCCTGTGATACTTCAAATTTCTTCACAGCAAGAACTTGACCACTCAGTAAGTGAGCTTTATAAACAACACCAAATCCTCCCTCCCCAATGCAATGATCGGAGTTGAATTCATTTGTTGCATCAATGATGTTGTTGTACACCAATTTTCCATCATAGCTCCATACGGAAAACAAATTTTGATTGTTTGCTCCTCTAAGCTCCGTTTCTTTTGTCCTCACTCTAGAGTGGAAGACACAACTATAGACAACCGCACAAAAGATAAATAAAATGACAAAAAATGGAAGTAAAATCCAGACAATAGCTTTGTTGCCCTTGTTCCCAACTGTCTTGTTAAGTGAGCAAGCTTTCAAACCTGCAGTGTTGCCACACAAACCTTTATTCCCTCTTAGTGCTTCAAATTGAATTTCTTGGAAGGCTTTGATGTTAGGAAGAGGACCCTCCAACTGGTTGTAGGATATGTCGACCGATGTCAAACTTAACATTCCATCCAGAGTGGATTGGATGGAGCCGCGGAGTTCATTGTGGGAAATATTCAATATTTCCAAGCTTTTCAATGCTACAAGTTTTTGTGGAATCTCACCTGTCAGTAGGTTTCGGCTGAGATCAAGACTTTGAAGTGAATGTAAATTACCTAATTCAAATGGAATACCTTCCCCAAGATTATTTTTGCTTAAATTCAAGTTCAATAGTTTCGTGCAATCTCCTAATTGTTTGGGAATTGGACCACTTAAATCATTTGCTGCCAAGTTAAGGTGTTCCAACTCATATAGCTTGGAAATTTCCAATGGAATTTTTCCTGAAAGTTTGTTATCACTTAGACTGAGATGAAACAACGAAATCAAACTTGCCAATTTTATTGGGATCTCCCCAACTAGTTGATTGGAAGAGAGGTCAAGTACACACAAATGTGTTGCCTCTGCAAGCTTAGGAGGTATGCCTCCCGAAATGTTATTGTTGGAGATTCTAAAGCTAGTCAGACCACGAGACTCACCCCATTTTTCTGAAAGCTGGCCATAAAATTTATTGTAACTCAGATCAATGTAATTCAATGCAGGGTACGTACCAAAATCTTCGGATAAATTTCCAGTGAGTTCGTTTCTTTGAAGCCTAACTCTATATAGATTAGTGCAGTTTTTTGTCAAGCTTTTAGGAATTAGGCCTTGGATATGGTTGTCATTGGCTGCCAAAAGTCTTAATAAACCACCGGAGCATATATCTCGTGGTAAATGGCCAGTAAGCTCGTTTTGAGATACCGCAAATCCAACCAAAAACGTGAGATTATTCAATTCAGGAGGGATGGTACCAGTTAACTGATTTTGAAATAAGAGCAACACCTGGAGCTTCCTCAAATTCCCAATATTGGAAGGAATATGTCCAGAGAGTTTGTTGGAATTGAGGTATAAACGGGTACTTAAGCTACTCAAGTTCCCTATAGAGGCAGGGATTGAACCTGTGAGATAGTTGCTATGCAAAGAGAGGTCATTGAGACTGCTAAGCATTCCTATTTGTTGGGGGATTGAACCCGAGATTTGATTCAAAGACATGTCAAAGAAGTTAAGATTTGACAATAGGCACATTTCAAATGGAATTGTTCCAGAGAGATGGTTGAGGGACAAGTCAAGGAAGATGAGTTTGGAAAGGTTACTGAAATGTGGGGGGACGGTTCCGGAGAGTGAATTGTTACCAAAGTCCATCCGGAGAAGACTGGGAAAGGATGAGAAGTTAAAATTGTGAAGCGTACCTCGTAAGCCACAACCTGTAAAGTTCATAGATGTGACTCTTCCAACATTGTTGCAACCAATGCCAACCCAATTATTGCAAGGGTTGTTGCTTCCAACCCATGATGATAGGAGAGATTGGCTTTGATTGTCAAGGCTAGCTTTCCACTTCAAAAGAGCCACTGCTTCAGTTCCTTCTTCTCCAAAGGAAGCATAAGCAGCAACATTAGAAGAAGAGACCAATGCAAGGACGATGATGACAAAGAAAAACATGACTTGTAAAGGAATGAACTTGTTGGAAAGCCTCTTTGCTAACAATTTCATTGTTGTGTTTGTTATTACGAGGTATGAGGAGCAGTTGTTGGATGGAGGGGTGGGGAGTATTTATTTCTTTGAATACATGGAGAGGTATTTATGGGTAGGTAACTTTAAGAGAAATATAAACTTTTCGTACAAAAATTTCATATATAACTATCCTTTTGTGTTTCACATCAAGCTAAAACACTCCCTCAAAATTACAAAAATATAATCGTCACATCATTGTTTTACGTATAAAAATTAGAAAAATGCAATATATGATGGTTATTACTATTATTATTATTATTATTATTATTTAAATGATGTGGACAACTGCTTGGGAATTGTCATGTAACTTGTTCAAAATTTGGAAGTCATTGGCGTGCATAGACCGGAAGGGAATAGAAATTATACAAATCTTAATCACATCGTAATCAAAAGAATATAAGTGAATTAGTTAGGAGTATCTGTCCCAATTCAAGTCAAGCTAAGAAGCCAAATTTGACTAATGCACATGAAAATTTCTATTCCCTGTTCTCATCTTCATGCCTTTTATTTCTTCACCATAATAGTATAATATACGGGTTTAAAATGCCAAAACAACCACTCTCCATGTGAAATAATCCTCTGTACATCATATACTTTTAATTAACAAAACAAATAATAATAATAATAATAATAACTAAAATTACAGATGGATAAACAAACAGAGAGTAGATTTTCACAGACCAGTTGTTGGATGGAGGAGTGGAAAGCATTTATTTCTTTGAATGCATGGAGAGGTATTTATGAGTAGGTAATTTTGAGAGAATTATAACTTTTTGTACAAAAATTTCATATATAACCATCCATTTGCAAAAATATAATCGTCACGTCATTCTATATAGGGTTTTATGTGTAAAAATTAGAAAAATGCAATATATGACAATGATTATTATTATTTTAAATAATGTGGACAACTGCTTGGAATTCTTATTTAAGTTGTTCAAAATTTGGTAGTTATTGCTATGCATAGATGGAAAGGGAATACAAATTATACAAATCTTAATCACATCGTAATCAAAAGAATATAAGTGAATTAGTTAGGAGTATCTGTCCCAATTCAAGTCAAGCTAAGAAGCCAAATTTGACTAATGCACATGAAAATTTCTATTCCCTGTTCTCATCTTCATGCCTTTTATTTCTTCACCATAATAGTATAATATACGGGGTTTAAAATGCCAAAACAACCACTCTCCATGTGAAATAATCCTCTGTACATCTTACACTTTTAATTAACAAAACAAATAATAATAATAATAATAATAATAATAATAACTAAAATTACAGATGGATAAACAAACAGAGAGTAGATTTTCACAGACGCGTAAATGGTGTACACTGAAAATAAAAAATGTGTAATTGAAATCAAAATAAATAAACTGTAATGAGTTCAAGCCATTGAAACAAATTAAGAGAGAGAGAGAGAGAGAGAGAGAAGAGCAGAGGACTTATGGGAGACTATTGAAGCTATAATTTACAACGAAACTTTGGAAAACTGGAGAGTGATGGAAGAACTTCTACAATTCACCACTGAAGTAGAAAAAAAAAAAAGAAAAAAAGAAAGGGAAAGCGAAATCCTCATCGTCGAAATCGCACAACTTCAGTTCTCTCAGAAAGCCCTAATCAGAAAATAGTAGTGACAGAGGGACAGAGGGACAAGCCCTAAACCAATTATATGCGAGAGAAGCGCCAACGGGTTCTGGTAGTCAACCTGTTTAAATAGCAAGACAATGTTTTTGAAAATCAATCGTAAAAATATACATAAATATATATATATATATATATATTGATAATAATTTTGAATTAATAATATAAAATTTTTATTTACAAACGTTATGGGAGCTCAGATTTTATTTAAGATTTTTTGAATCAATAAATATTATTTAGTAAAATTGAGAATATTCTCAGTTTTTTTAAAATTTTAAAACTAAGAACATTTTGCATAGTAATGTTTCAGATAATTGTATCACTAATTGAAGAAAAAAAAGAGCATAAAATTAAACGTTTTTGTTATTCTATTGTGGGGATGTATTTTCTGAAATACCAACACGTGGTATGGTGACGCCGACGTGTCAGCCGAGGTGCCACGTGTCCTGGTAGTTATGTCGAGGTGATCTCCGAAAATATCAGAATCCGAGATAAGCGGATAAAGGACAAGAGTCCTAGAGTAAAGAGTTTTATCCTTATCTCTTAAGGAATCCAAAGTAAGGACTGAATTGGAGTCCATAGAAGTCAGGCTTCTAGTGGGACTTGGATTGAGTAAACTATAAAAGAGAGGCACCCCCGTGGGTCTAAGGTATGCAGTTTCATGCTTAAGCTTGTGAGTTTAGCACTTAATTTATCTTTGAGAGATATACTGACTTGATCGTCGGAGTGCCCCCGGGTGGAAAAGCCACCGCCGGAGCCTTTTTCTTCTGTTACAGGTCACTAAAGCCATCTATTCTGCCGATGC